ATGAGTCAGCATGGGCTCAATGGCAAAGAGTTTGGTTTGATCACCAAGCTAACAACAAAACCCAACCCCACAGCCTACCCACGGGTCCTTTCCAACTCACCACAGGCCTGTGAGGGGATCAACTGCCTCAGCTTTCTCCTGCAAAAGGGCTGGTGCGTTAGAACTTCCCCTTAGCCCACGGTGCCACCAGGGCTCCTGTCATCAGGCTGACCGACTGTTGAACACCCAGGGGCACTTCTTGGCTCAAACTTGTGACTTCCAACTTGTGATCTTATTTATAACCACCCAACTCTGTGATCTTGTTTACCATCACCCAACTATGGTGGTGCAGTGGGTTAAGGGTTGGGCTGCCTGCTTCTGTGATCATTCACTCTCGGCAGCCCCAACAAAGTTGCTCTGAGTTGATATTCACTTGATGGTTTTGGCTGGAACCAGTGCAACAGGAGCTGTGGAGGGGCAAGGGTTAAGTGCTCGGTGACCGTTGGTTGTTGGAACTCACCAGCTGCTCCTTGGAGAAAGAGCAAGCAGCTTGCCCTTGGGAAGACTTGAAAAAAAAAAAAAAAGCACTTTCACTGAGTCTGTTCTGACTCATAAGGACCCTACAGGACACGGGGCACCCCCGTGGGTGCTGAGACTGTATAGGGCGCAGAAAGCCTCGTCTTTCTCCCACAGAGCAGCTCGGTGGTTTCAAACTGCTGGCCTCGCATTTAGCTGCCCAACGGGTAACCACTATGCCACCAGGACTCTTGTAAAGAGTTTCTCTAAAACCGTTACTGCCACCGACACCCACGGTCACCGTTCTACTGTCCAGCAGGGTCCCTGTCCGTCAGAATCAGCTGCACAGCAAACAGTGTTTGGTGTTTTAAACCACGAACAGGTGGGAGGGCTTGGAGCCCGACAGCAAGTAAAGCAAGAGCCAGTAGCTCCCCGCTGCTGTTTTCATACAGCAGAAAGCGGTCTCGCAACCGTTTTCCAAGGGGAAAAAACTGCGCCTGTAGGGGAGGTGCGCCAGGCTTTCAGCCAAAAGCGCGGCGAGGCCTCTCCCAGTCGGGTCTGGACCACGGCGGGCGTGTGCACTGCGACACGGCCGCCAACCCACTCGAGTCCCCCATTCGGCGGCCGGAGGTATGTCCCCTCCCGAGGACGAAGGCCGTCCCGGCGCCGGCGGGGCCGCCTCCTGCCCGTGACCTTGGGCAGACGGTTTCCCTGGGTCAACCTGCCAGTTGAAAAGGGTCCGACCGTGGCCCGTGGGTCCGACCCCGTGCGCAGAGCCGCGCGCGCGCGTGCGTGCAGGAGCCTGGGCGGCCCGCGGACTCGTGACCTTCACCGGGACGCAGCGACCCGCGCTCCGCACGACCCCGCTGGGCTCCGGGCCCCCGGCCGCTGCCCGCCCGACTCCCGCAGCCCCTCCCCGCCACGTCCCAACACCGGGTGGTGGGCGCGGGGTCCAGCGGGTGCGGGGACTGGGTTCCGCTCCGTCGGGGTTGTCCAGTGACCGCTGCTGACCCTTGACCCTCACCCGTCCCGCCCGCGGTACCGACTCACCGCCCAAGTCAGCGCCGGGCGCCGAGCGCGCAGCAGCCGAGACAAGACCTGGACCCCCGACATGGTTGCCCACCGTCGCCGCTCCCGCCAGCACCCGCGGCAGACTGCGCCTGCGCACCGCGCCTCGCCCGGGGCGTGAGATCGCGTCAGGGGCACCGCGCCTGCGCACCGCTCCGCGCCGAGGGCGGCGAAGGCGAACGGGGACACTGCGCCTGCGCGCCGCCCCACGCCCGGGGCAAAGGAAGGAGCCCGGGGCCCCTGCGCCTGCGCACTACGTCGCACTGGGACGGTAGGTGGGACGGCGCCTGCGCCGAGCGGGGCGGCGGACGCGGGGCTCGCCCGCTGGAGTAGCCGGCCGAGACTTGGCTGAGGAGACCCTGAGGCTGGGGCTGTGCGGCGGGTTGAACGCGGAGGACCGGCGGTCGGAGACCCGGACGTTGTGCGGCCGCTCCCACTGAGCTTGAAGCTAAGGGGAGGCGGAGACGCCCGCACTCCCACCCGTAGGTATGTCGGGCCCCAGGGCCTGGGCGAGTCCGGAAGATGGACGCCCCTGGGGAGGGGACCCGCCGCCACCTCGCTGGGGCGGTCGCCCCCCTGGCTCCTTCGGCTGCGGGGCGCTCGGAGCTGAAGGTCAGGGGTCACTCTCGTGTACACTCGGTGGCTTAGGCCTTGCTGCGCACCACGCCCCCCGTCTTCCCTTAGAGCAGGGAGTGTTTCTGTTTTCCTTGTTTTGGCGAGAAATCCGAAATCTCTGCAGGGCGAGTAACCGAGCGCCGTAAGTCACGCAGTCAGCGCATTAACAGGTCCGGCTTGACCGTAAGGTGGTGCCTGGCCGGTTCAAGCAGCTCCCTCCCTGGCTTCCCGCGCACGCCCCGGACCCTCGCCACCCCCGCCTCATCCACCCCGAGCTCCCCCACCCCCAGCCACCGTCTCCACCCGAGAGGATGTACGTCTGACCGTGCCCCGTGTGTCGGTGGGTGCCCGGCCGACTTAAAGCCTGCTACTTGATAGCCATTTGGTACCGACCCCCCCCCCCCGGGAGGGTGCAGTGCTGGGAGCACGGGGCAATCGCCGCTTGCCATGCTGACTGCATCCACACACCAGCTGATTCCGCTGTTTATTTGGGTTCCTTTCCTGCGGCTTCTCTGGACTCTTCTCGGGGTTCAGATTTTACTCACCCCCCACCACGGGAAGTGTGCAATGCAGGCCTAATGGCTAATCTTAGAACTCTGGGCCTATACCCAGACATTAAGCCTAAACACCTAATCTTTTGAGAAAAACAAAACAAAACAAAACACCTAATCTTTTTTTTTTTTTTGGAATCAGGTTTGGCCTCAATACAAATTAGACAGTGACTCAAAATGGCCAGAAAAAGGTTCTTTCGATTTTAATGCCCTTTGGGACCTTGCCAACAGAACAGCAAGTACCTCGAAGTTCCTTAGGAAGGGACTTTTTTCTTTCTCTGCTCTCACCCCTCTCTGTGCCCAAACTGCCACACTTCCCAACTGCTGCTGGCTCAGGAGAAGCCCTCTCTCCCAGACGATGAATATTCCTTCCACAGGTTGGATCATGCCCCTCAGTGCACACCCTCCCCCGCTCCTCATTATCCTTCAGTCTCGCCCTTTGCCCATCTGGCTCCTTCCACCGCCTCTTCCAACTTGACATTTTCCACCAAAAATCAGACCCTACTCCCCTCTCCCTCTCTGAGGTGGCAGGAGCCTAGGGACTTGTAAGAGTACATATTCCTTTTTAGCTTTCCGATCTGTCGGTTCTTGAAAGAATATCTGGGACCCTTTTCCTTTGACCCAGACACTTATATTAAACAGTTCAGGTTCCTTTCCAAGTCTTAGGATATTACCCGGCATGAGTTTTACATTATTCTTACAACTACCCTATCCCCCGAAAACAGGGAGAGAGTTTGGGTAGTGATCCCGCAGAGAGGCGATGAAGTTCATGCCCAGAACTGGAATAAACTGGTTGGCACCCGACGTAGTTCCCCGACAGTACCTTAAGCGGAATTAAAAACTTGGTCATGGAGACCACACTCTCTGAGATGGCATGGCTATGCACCTCATTGAGGGGTTATGAAAGATGGCTAATACAACAGTCGATTATGACAAGAGAAAATCCTGCTCGGTTTTATCCCGCCTCTCAGAGGCTTCCCATAAGTTCACCAGGATTGCTCCCTCAGCACCAGCTGGCACTACTTTACTTCCCTCACACTTTTCTTGCAATCAGCTCCTGACATTAATAAAAAGCTTAAAAAACACAAAGCAGGGCCTCACACTCCACAGTGAGACCGGCTCAATGCAGCCTTTAAGGTTTTCAATAACAGGAACAAGGAAAATTTGATAAACTTTCTTAGAAAGGGACAAAAAGATGCTGGCTAACGGCCCTTCAGGGCAAGATGGGTGGATCCAAACCAGAAACAATGAGCCACTAGTGGGTAAGCCACCCGGACCCTGCTTCAAATGTTCCCAGAAGGGACATTGGTAAGGGGACCAGACGTCCCGCTTTTTGCGGGACAGTCCCGCAGCATTTTTTAAAAGACCCAATTTTTTGGAAAGAATGCACGACAAGCTTGGGTATACGGTTTTCAGCTGCCATGTGGCTATTTCGCCAGGATATGAGTTTTATCAGTGGTGTCCCGCTTTACCAATGTTAAAATCTGGTCACCTTAGACACTGGGCACACAAATGCCCAAATCCTCTTCTCCCACTGAAGCCGAGCCCAACAACACCTAAAGGACCTTAAACCCATTATCTCAAAACTCCTCAGGGCAGGCCTGTTAAGGCCCATCTACTCTCCCTACAACACCCATTCTGCCAGTTATTAAACACAACAGCAGTTACTGACTTGTTCAAGATCTTAGAACCATCAACTCCACTGTCGCCTATTCATCCCGCCATTCCCAACCCCTGTATGGGGCCAAATGCCTTTACGGGACCAAATATGGAACGTAAAAAGCTTAGGGGAAGATTTGGCAGGTGACTAAGCCGTTAAAAAAATAGCTCAAACTGGCATCAAAAGACAAGGAGCTAGCCAATACCCTGGCGCCCTACAAACCAATAGACCTTCCCAGACTCAGACAAACTACAGCAAGCTGACTCCAGGCACCAATTTCATCTCTCAACACCACCCACCGACTTCTGTACCAAACAGTGCTCACCACTCAGGGTTGGTTGTGCCACAGAATATCTGGCATCTCCCCATTCTATCATCATGGGTAACAGCCAACAGACCAAGACAAAGCATCCCTGCCGTCAGACCAGTGGCCACCAAAGTACTTCTCTTGTCCAGTCAAGACACTGTCTCCTGGAATAGTTTTCCTATGTGACACATTTGTCTCACATGTCTATAGGTTAAACTACAGGACTATGCATCCCAACCTTTTTCACTCCAGACATAACTTTCATGGGTGAACAAGATCTAGAAAACACAATACAAAAATGCAAATCTGAACTGACTCCCCAAAATTCCATAGACGCAGATGAACAGTTGTAACCCCTATCCTCATTGGAACGAGTACAGCAGCAGCTCTGGGAACTGGAGTTGGAAGAATTGGAACTACTACTCATTTTTACTACAAACTATCAAGAGACTTTAGCGTTGATGTGGAAGAAATAGGTGACACTCTTCTAACACTACAAACCCAAATGAATTCCCCAGCAGGCGTGGCACTACAAAATGGGCCAGCCCTGGATCTGCTCACTGCAGAAAAGGGGGAACCTGTCTTTCCAGGAAAGGAATGTTGTTACTTTGTTAATCAATCAGGCCTAGTTACACAAAAGGTAAAAGAACTAAAGGAAAGAATTCAACACCAACTGAAGGAGTTAGGAGATGTAGGACTGAGGTAGTTAGTTTATTGTGCCAACCTGGCTGATAAACACATGTGGGGTTAATTGAAGGGCGGAGGGATAAATGGCTCTGTGAGCCTCGCCTTTCTAGTTCTCGGGTCTCTTGTTTTGTGATGGTTGGACCAGGGTGCAGCTGCCTTAGCCAATTCTCTGCTTCACCTGGCAAGGCTGACTTCCTGCAAGACCTCCCCAAGGAGAAGCCGCAGGGACCTACCCTGATGCAGCCCTGGGTGCTGGAGCAGCCGTGTGGAGACCTGCCAGCGCTGAGATGCTTACACGCTCACCGATTCGGCTTTCCTTCTGCAGTCGGCATCATAGTGTTGTTTTGTGAGATGGAGGAGGACTTTGTGGATTGGTGTTGGACATACGTGTTAATGTTGGACTTGTGGGCTTGGGCAGCACTGGGTTGGGATGTTTTCTTGATGTGCACTTACCCTTTATATAAAACTCTCTTATACATGAGTTTCTGTGGATTTGTTTCTCTAATGTACCTAGACTAACACAAGAACCCACATGGTGCAAACATCTTTGGCTCTTGGAAATCTTGGGCCCCATGGCTTCTGCCACCCCTGGGACCTCTCAGTTTAATATGTATAACTTGGTGCTTCAGACCTTGTCTGCTGTGTTTTCAGATTTTTTTGCAGGTACTATACATCCTCCACCAATCAAATACACTGTACATAGCTAGGTTAACGCGCTCACGTGATGCTAGAAGTCTTTTGCCACCCCTGTCCAGCAGGAGCTGTTGCAGATGAGCCCCTCGGCCCTATTATCAAAAGGTCTGGCTGAACGGAAGATGGCACCTGGCCAATTCAAGCAGCTCTCCCCACACTTCCCACTCATGTCCTAGACCAGTGGTTCTCAACCTGTGGGTCGCAGCCCCTTTAGGGGTTGAACGACCCTTTCACAGGGGTCGCCGGATTCATAACTAGTAAAATGACAGTTATGAAGTAGCAACGACAATAATTTTATGGTTGGAGTCACCACCACATGAGGAACTGTACTAAAGGGTCAAGGCATTAGGGAGATGAGAAGCATTGGGCGAGAGAGATGATATTAAGTAATGCACCATACTTGGAGGAAGGAATACTGTACTTGCCAGATGTCTATCAAAAGTTACCTAGCATTAGGTAAATCTTCTCCTGGTGTGTTTGAACTGCCCACCTTGTTGCTAGGTCCAGTGCCTAACCCACACACCACCAGAGCTAATTTTCTAAGGGACTCACTAAAACTCACTGCCTTCCATTTCATTCTGACTTAAAGATCCTACAGGTCCCCTGTGGGGTTTCTAAGGCTGTAAACCTGTCTGGGAGCAGAGAGCTTCCTCTTTCTTCACAGAGTAGCGGGTAGGTTCAAACTACTGACTTTGCTATTAACAGTCCAACATGTCACTAGAGCTCTTGAGAACATGATCTCAAGATCATGTAAAGTTATGAGTCAGATTGACTCCACGGCAGTGTGTGTAGGCTTTGTTTTTTTTTTTCTTCTTTCTCCTTAGCTATTTGCTTAGGCAATGTAGTCAGATAATTTCTGTGTATTTTTAGAAGGACTTTCAGAAACCTAATTTTCAGAGGAAAACCTAATTTTCAGAAACCTAAAATTCAGAGGAATTCTGAATTTACTTTCAGAAACCTAATTTTGCTATTCTCTACTCACTTCAATTGAGTCCATTCCAACAAAGAGAGATTTCTGAAGTTCTCCATCCGTATGGAAGCAGATAGCCTCTCCTGCCCTTGGTGCGGTTGGGAGGTTTGAGTGACTTCATGGACAGCAACAGTAAGGGGCTCCTATGGTTGTTCTTCGGTGAACACATACACAGCAACCCTGTCCAGTGTTTCAAAATATTTATTGGAGCAGATAGCCTCCTATTTCCTGAGTGGAGTGGCCAATGAGTGCGAAGCTCCGACTTCATTATGATTAGCAGTCCAGTGCTCACCTAGCAGCTCTCCTATTGGAGCCTTTGTGGATACCATAAGCCCGTAATAGTAAGTTCTGAGCCATATGCTTTTTTGACATCTTTGTGTATCAAAATATTGTCTTCACACATTAAAAAAGTATTTACCTAAAAAGCTGTTAAATTTTAGAAAAGGAAATTGGATCGACTCTTCTCGTGTCCTGAGAGGAGTTTGTTGTTACCAGTGTGTATTTCTTCTGAAATAGAGCTAAAAGCTCTCACGATGCTACCCTGACACCGTGCCCCTTAGTGTTGGCACTTGAAATCCCTGGGAGGTGCAGGTGGTCAGAAGCTCTGTTCTCCCTGAGCATGGGGGGCCTGTCCTTCCTGAAGCGCCTTGGAAGAGAACCTGTGAGCACAGTTCTACTCTGACACTCAAGGTGTTGCTGGGAACTAGAGTCAACCTGATGGTTACTGGTGGTTCCTGTAGGTACCTCGTAAATTCTTCGCGACATTCGATTCCAGGCTGGTTTCTTGAGTGTATGCCTGCAACTGATAATACTTGCTATCTTGATGTGGACCCCACCAAGGTAGAAGTCGTCTCCAGCAGTGCCCGTTCCACGTACACTAACACTTCAGGGTTACGTCCTTTCCATTTCCTGAAACTCACTGTTTTTAATGTCTTCCACTCTCCCTCAGAAAGACTAGCTTTCTGCGCATCAGACCCCCACCATCTTCTCTGCCTGTTGAAATGGTGATTGTCTTTTAAAACTTAACTTCATATGCAGCTGTGTGTGTAGTGATAGCCCACTGTTTTGAGTTTGCAATAAGTCTGTGAGTAATCATACTTTCAAACATTTGCCCTAGAGCATTTACCCCGCTCTGCTTGTATTTGAGCGATGGAACTTGGGTCGTATTTTTTCCCCACTAGGTTGTGAGTTGCTTTCCTGTACTGTCCTGTGCTTTTCTTCAAATCTTACAGGGCATAGTCCTGTGCCCCATATGGGTAAATGATATTGTAACAGATGTGTTTTTTTCCTGTTCTATTCTTAATACTGTGAATCATTACTTTAAGGTATATCTCCATGAATAACTTAAATGACCCCCCAAATTGGAATATCCGACCTAATTCCCAAACTGAAGGGGGTGATGGAGGCCGGTGGAATTATGCCTTATTGGTTCCAATGCTGGGATTGGCTGCTTTCCGTAAGTTGTTCTTGGTTCTTTTTAATTGTGGGGATGGGGTGCTGGAGGGAAGGGGCAGTATTAAGACTTTGAAATATTTTATTGCAAATTTTTGATCACATATTAAAAATAATGATGTATATTCATTCATGGAAACACTAGTACATTTTTAGAAAACAAAAATTTTTGTACCCTCAGTAGCAAATTTAGAAAATTAAATAGGAAAAAAAATCAGTGAGAAAAGATTTTTTTAATATAATTTTTAAATATATTTAATTTTAAAAAGCTGTTCAGAAAAGAAAACTACATTTGGTAGGTGGGCAAACATTGACTTGGTACATCAGTGCTTTAGTTGTTATATCAAGATATATGTTATTCTGGCAGACTTGTGATTGACATTGTCAATGAATATTGTAAATTTTGCCTGACAACCAATTCCTATTATTTGTGTAAATAGTGCCCAGCCACGGAAAGATTTATTCTGCATGAGTGAATAATTCAGGTATTTTGATATGTCGGTAACCTACATTGGTAGGCTCAACAGGGTTTTAAAAGTTAGTACCAGGGGATAATCAGTGGCAGTATTAACAACAGAAGATATTTTTGCTCCAGGGAGATGATCAATAAGACTCTCTACCATAATTTAACAAAGAAATCTCTAAGGGGAGGCAAAGGCAGGTAAAAAACCATAGAACCAGGAATGGATTTGGGGCTTGCATTAAATCCTAGCCCCAATATAAGAACAATTAGTTCTTACATCATGGCCCTATCAATACATGCCCTCATGAATGGAACACAGAAGATATGGATGCTGTAACAAAGTGTGGTAAAGAAATTAGATGGTGCCCGGCTAGCAGTCTGGGATCTTAAAGGCTTGTTTCCAAACAAGCAGCCATTTATCTAAGTGAGATGGAAGAAGCACGCCAACATCTGTGACCCAAGGATTGTAAATTACATACTATAAAGCCAAAGGAGGGAATGGTATCAGAACCTACATTGTGAGATTCTGGTCCGCTACAGGCAGTGGAAACCCAAGATACAATTGTGAGATCTACTGAGGAAATAAGCCTCTGGTGACTTCCCTCTGTCCACAATGGAGGGATGGGAAGAAACTGGTTCCCAAACACAATATTAGAGACAGCGTTCCAGTATCTAGGAGATCAAAATGACGAACCTGACTTGCAAACTTAAATAAAACCTTGTCACTTGACCCCCCTTCTGATATATGTTGGCCTGATCTGGTGGTCAGCATTTTCTGTGTGTCTTGTTCCCCTTTCATGTTAGGTTTATCTGATAGATTTTGCCATTGTGGGTAGCCCTCCTGAATTTTTATGAGATGTTTTTAGGTATATGAAACCCAGGATTGATGAGCCTATAGAGACAAGTAGATTAAGGCTTCCTAGGGGGTACCGTGAGAAGGGAGGTGGCAAATGGGAGCTGATAACAAGGAATTCAAGAAGGAAGATGTTTTTAAATGGATTGTGGTAGTATTGTACAATACTGCTTGTTACGATTGAACTGTGGATTGAGAAGATAACTGTATTGGCTCCCAATAAAATGGTTTGAGAAAAATAATAGCACACTTGAATACTGATTATAAGGAGATTAAAATTAAATGTGAAAATTCCATAAGCATGTACTGGCTAAATATGTTCTGAACAGAGAACTTTCCAAATCTTAAAAGAAATTGAAGGCAACAGAAGAGGATTATTAGATTCAGTAATAAGATTAAAACTTCTGCATATCAAAATGTGTAAAGCACAAAATTAGCAAATATTTTAATCAAATACAATAAATGGTGCGTTATCAGATGTATATTTGATATGTAACAAATATGTTGTGCACATTTGATCAAGAACATTCAAAGACAGCCATAGGACAAATGCGGTTCAAACAGTAATGTGGGAGTAGCGCAGGACCGAGCAGTGTTTCATGCTGCTCCAAGTCAGAACCGACTCGACGGCGCCTAACAACGTTGACAAATAAGAAAGGATCATCACAAAACAAGAAAACAACTGGTTGAGCAGTGAAGTGACTTGGGGTGACTTGTCTCCATACATGGTTTGCCCCTCCATTGGGCAGTTGTTAAGTGCTGTGGAGTCGTTTCTGACCCATCGGTGACCCCAGGCACAACAGCGCCACCACCTGGTCCCGTGTGCCATCCTCGCAGTTGTTCCTATTCTTGAGCCCCTTGTTGCAGCTACTGTGCCAGTCTATCTCCTAGGGGTCCATCCTCTTCCTCGCTCCCCCCTCTACTAAACATGTTGCCGTACCCAGGGGCCCTGCTGTCAACCTGTCCAGAGTATGTAAGAAGATGTGATGTCTTACCACCCTTACCTCTGAGGAGCACTCTGGCCTTACTTCTTCCAGTACAGAAGGGTTTGTCCTTTTCACAGTCCGTAGTACTTTCAATATTCTTCTCCAGCACCACAGTTTAATGCATCGATACATTTTTTGTCTTCTTTATTCAGTGTCCAACTTTCACATGCGTGTGAGGCAATGATGAATACCATGGCTTGGGTCAGGTGCACCTTAGTCCTCAAAGTAACATCCTTACTCTTTGAATACTCTAAAGAGGTCTTGCACAGCAGATTTACCTAATGCAGTAAGTCTTTTGGTCTCTTGATTGCTGCTTCCATTAGCATTGATTGTAGATCCAAACAAGACAAAATCTTTTAACCTTTTCTCCATTTATCATTATGTTACTTATTGATCCAGTTGTGATGATTTTGGTCTTCTTAACATTGAGTTGTAATCCATAGTGAAGGCTACAGTCCTTGAACTTCATCAGTAAATGCTTCAATTCCTCCTCACTTTTATGCAAGCAGAATTTTGTCATCTCCATACCATAGATTGTTCATAAGCCTCCCTCCAATTCGGATGCCACATTCTTCTTCGTATAATCCAGCTTCTCTGATGATTTGCTTAATACACATTAAATAAGAATGATGAGCAGATACAGCTCTGTCACATACCTTTCCTGATTTTAAACCTACAGCATTCCCTTGCTGTGCTAGTGGAGTTGCCTCTTGATCCACATACAACTTTGGCGTGAGCATAATGAAGTGTTCTGGAAGTCCATTCTTCTCAAGGTGATCCGCAGTTGAAGGCCTTTGTGTAATCAGTGAAACACAAGTGAACATCTTTCTGGCATTCTCTGCTTTCAGCCAAGAGCCATCTGACTTCAGCAGTGATACCCCTTGTTCCACCACCTCTTTTACATATGGCCTGAACCTCTGGAAGCTCCTTGTCAGTGCACTGCTGCAAATTTTGTTCAGTGATCTTTAGCAAAAATTTTACTTGCATGTGATATCGATTTTATTATTCTATAAGCTGAGCCTTCTGTTGAGCCCCTTTTCTGTTATGGGTACAAATATGGATCTTCTAGTCAGCCAAGCAACAGTCTGCCATGTTTCCTGGCACCCATGAAGGCTTCCAGAGCTGCTTCAGCTCACTGAAACATTTCAGTGGGTATTCCATCAATCCCTGGAGCCTTGTTTTGGGCTAATGCTTTCAGTGCAGCTTGAATTTCTGTCTTCATCGCCATTGGTTCTTGCTCAGGCAAGAAATGGTGGAATGTTGGCTTCCTTTTGGTACAGTAACTATTCTTTCCATCTGTGGATGTTTCCTGCATCTTTCAATATTTGGCTCATTGAATCTTTCCATAACAAAACTTAAAGCTTGATCTTTATTCCTTGAGTCTTTGCAATTTCAGATACGCTAAGCTTATTCTTCCCTTTTGGTTTTCTAATTCTGGATCTTTGCACATAATAGATTTGTTTTGTTTTCTTGAGCTGCCCTATGAAATTATCTATTGAGCTCTTGGACCTCATCATTTCTTCCATTTCCTTTAGCTACTCTCTGACTAAGAACAAGTTTCAAAGTCTCTGCTGACGTCCACTTTGGCGTTGTCTTTCTCTCCTGTCAGTAGTGGTCATGGCAGCGCACTCAGGAGTGTAGTTGAGCTCTGGTGGACTTGCTTTCATTGTCTTCAGCGGGGCTCTGAGCTGCATGTGAGCCGTGGTACAGTTCCAGTCAGCCCTTGCCTGTGTTACCTGCTGGCAGTGAGCTTCTCCAGCTTCTCTTCCAGATACAACCCATTTGGTTTCTGTATGCCACCTGGAAAAGCCCGTGAATAGAGTTGCCTTTTGTGTGTGTGTTTGAAAAAAAGGTGTTTTCTATGAACAAGTGGTTGGTTTTGCAAAATTTTATCATATCTGTAGCTTAGTTTTTTAGCATCAAGACCACATTTTCCAGCTACTTTGTTTCCAACTTTTTCATTCCAATCACCAATAATTTATGGATCTTGATTGTATTTTTGGCCAACTTAAGCTGAAGTCGTTGGAAGAATTATTTTCATTTCTTCATAACTAGCTTTTGTGATTGTTTTGTAAGTTTGATTGTATTGATTGGAAGGCAGATATACTCCTGTGGGAAAGGTTTTTCCCCAGGTTGTTCCTCCGTATTGTACGCCCAGCTTAGGGTGCTGCTTGCTAGGGCCTGGGCATGGGAGGCAGCTGCTTAGAGGTTATCTCCCTGAGGTTTACAGCCATCTAGGGCAACCAGACCCTCTTGTCTGTCCCACCCTAGGTGGGGCCACGCCCTGCTGATAGTAGATTGTTTCCCTGAAGGGGAGCCCAGAGACAAGGTCAAGCCAACTCAAGGACAACCAGTTAGGCTGCCATCTTGAATCTAGGATCCGCCCATCTTGTCACATGTATGTCCCCAGTGCCACCCCTTCCTATTGTGTGTACACCCTTAGCTCAGCCCCTTCCTGTTACATATGTGGTTACTTGTAATCAGGGGGGCATGCCTGCCCCTTAAGTATATGAAAACCGTGATTGGAAATATGTTCTCTATCTCTGCATGGTCCTGGCTGCCCCAGAGGTGAGCATGCTACCATGAAAAGCGTCTGACTCCGTTATTTTACTCTCCCTCCTATTCTTCTGTGACTTTACTGTGATCTGTCTGTATTATAACCGTACAATCGTGACTATGGACCCTGCGGTTGACAGAGGCTG